CACTCTCACACACACACACACACACACACACACACACACACACACTCACACACTCACACACCTGACGGAGCCGCGGCAGCTGCGTTCAGCATGTTTGTCATGATCAAAAACTGGCTGCTTGGAGCCACTGAAGAGAGCGAGTATAAACTGCTGAGCACCGACTGCAAGGTAACACACACACACACAGAGAATAATAATTGTCTGTCTGTCTGGAGTGATCGTTAGCGATAGTTCAGCTCACTAACTAAAGATCTGCCTGTTCACTCGTGCTTGTGTGCGTTTGTCTTGTGGTAAAAGCTTCAGTAATAAGTGTTACCTTATTAATATTATGAAACTGAGATCATGTTCGGCTCATATTTCATCACAAAATCAGAAGAGAGAACTGAGACAGTATGTTTTACTAAAGAAAATCAAGCCATTTGTAGGAGCTTTACGAGCCTTACATATTTGCATTGTGACATTAAGTGAACAGACAAGAAGCCAATCAGAGTGCTGCAAACAGACAAGAAGCCAATCAGAATGCTGCAAACAGATGCGCAGCTAATCAGAACGTTGCAAACAGATGCACAGACAATCAGAGCGTTGCAAACAGACTCGCAGCCAATCAGAATGCTGCAAACAGACTTGCAGCCAATCAGAATGCTGCAAACAGATGCACAGCCAGTCAGTGTTGCAAACAGACGCACAGCCAATCAGAGTGTTGCAAACAGACTCGCAGCCAATCAGAATGTTGCAAACAGACGCACAGCCAATCAGAGCGTTGCAAACAGACTTGCAGCCAATCAGAGCGTTGCAAACAGACTCGCAGCCAATCAGAATGTTGCAAACAGATGCGCAGCCAATTAGAATGCTGCAAACATATGCACAGCCAGTCAGAATGCTGCAAACAGACGCGCAGCCAATCAGAAATCTGCAAACAGACACGCAGCCAATCAGAGCTTTGCAAACAGACACATAGCCAATTAGAATGCTGCAAACAGACTCGCAGCCAATCAGAACGTTGCAAACAGATGCGCAGACAATCAGAGCGTTGCAAACAGATGCGAAGCCAATCAGAGCGCTGCAAACAGACACGAAGCCAATCAGAGCGCTGCAAACAGACAAGAAGCCAATCAGAGTGCTGCAAACAGATGCGCAGCCAATCAGAATGCTGCAAACAGATGCACAGCCAGTCAGTGTTGCAAACAGACGCACAGCCAATCAGAGTGTTGCAAACAGACTCGCAGCCAATCAGAATGTTGCAAACAGACGCACAGCCAATCAGAGCGTTGCAAACAGACTCGCAGCCAATCAGAATGTTGCAAACAGATGCGCAGCCAATTAGAATGCTGCAAACATATGCACAGCCAGTCAGAATGCTGCAAACAGACGCGCAGCCAATCAGAAATCTGCAAACAGACACGCAGCCAATCAGAGCTTTGCAAACAGACACATAGCCAATTAGAATGCTGCAAACAGACTCGCAGCCAATCAGAATGTTGCAAACAGATGCGCAGCCAATTAGAATGCTGCAAACATATGCACAGCCAGTCAGAATGCTGCAAACAGACGCGCAGCCAATCAGAAATCTGCAAACAGACACGCAACCAATTAGAATGCTGCAAACAGACGAGCAGCCAATCAGAACATTGCATACAGATGCACAGCCAATCAGAAATCTGCAAACAGATACGCAGCCAATCAGAACACTGCAAATCAGCCAATCGAAGCATTGCAAATAGATACACAGCCAATCAGAGCGCACCAGTTTGAATGCTGAAAATTTGTTTCATATCAAAAGAAAAAAAAATCACAAAGACTATTGCAATTACTGGATGACACTACAAATAAAGTTCACGCATCAACTGAAAACAGGCTAATAAACGTATCAACTGAAAATAGCAAAAAATAAAAGATCGATTTTGTGATTTAAGAATTGATGACTTCACCAAAAAGATGATTGATTAATACTTATTAATCAGTTCTGTCAACCCAGTCCAACTGTGTACTGTGAACTTAATGGGAATGTTAGCAAAACATTCGTTATATGTCTTGTGTTCACTGGGAAAATTCCTCAGCCATATTGCAGCTATCTTAGTATTTGAATGATCTGTATTTGTCAGTGTTTAGTGTGTTTTAGCGTGTCTCTGTGATGCAGGTGAGGTCATGATCACGCCCGTCCCCATCATCTTCACTGTGTTTCCGCGTGATGACGGCTCTCTGAACCGCCGTCTGGTCGCCGCTCTGTGCATCCCATCATCCTTCCAGATCAGCCCGCCCACCCCGACAGACTCATCCATACGGATCGAGGACCGGCCCGGGATGACCGTATACGTCCTGTACGTCAGCTCACAATAACTCACCGTCTCTAGCAGCGATGCTACTAACTAACTAACTAACCAGCCATCTCTGTTTCCCCCTGCAGGCGGTTCGGTGGTTTCGCGGGCGAAAGCGCGTTCCGCGCGGAAGCGTCGCGTCTGACGTGCACACTGGGAGACTCCGCCCCCTTCCAGCGCAAACAGTACCTGTGCTGCAGCTATGACCCGCCAATCAAACCGTACAGCCGGCGTAACGAGGTGTGGTTCCTGCGGGACGAGCCCTGAGACTAGTTCCATAGTGAGCCACACGTGCCTGGACGATGGATTGTAAAAGAGTGTTGGTCCATGCATGAGTTTTGGCTAAAATTACCCATAACCCCTTTGTCACATGTTGAGTTCTAGCAAAGTGCAGAGGAAAGCGAGCTTTATTTCTAATGCTGGGATTTCTGTCTTGTATGTCTGAGACTTCCAGTTATTTTACCTGTAAACAAGCTGCTTGACATTGTAAACTGATGTTATCATATTATTTTAATACACACTGGTTTAGATGCACAAAGAGTTTTACCGTTTACGGCACTTTGTTGTTCTAGTTATTTTCCTATAGTGGCTAATGATGAAGTCTCGGTTAATTAGTAGAAATATCTATCTATCGAGGCACAGCCAGTCAGTGTTGCAAACAGACGCACAGCCAATCAGAGTGTTGCAAACAGACTCGCAGCCAATCAGAATGTTGCAAACAGATGCGCAGCCAATTAGAATGCTGCAAACATATGCACAGCCAGTCAGAATGCTGCACACAGACGCGCAGCCAATCAGAAATCTGCAAACAGACACGCAGCCAATCAGAGCTTTGCAAACAGACACATAGCCAATTAGAATGCTGCAAACAGACTCGCAGCCAATCAGAACGTTGCAAACAGATGTGCAGCCAATCAGAACGCAGCAAACAGACGCGCAGCCAATCAGAAATCTGCAAACAGACACGCAACCAATTAGAATGCTGCAAACAGACGAGCAGCCAATCAGAACATTGCATACAGATGCACAGCCAATCAGAAATCTGCAAACAGATACGCACCTGAGACTAGTTCCATAGTGAGCCACACGTGCCTGGACGATGGATTGTAAAAGAGTGTTGGTCCATGCATGAGTTTTGGCTAAAATTACCCATAACCCCTTTGTCACATGTTGAGTTCTAGCAAAGTGCAGAGGAAAGCGAGCTTTATTTCTAATGCTGGGATTTCTGTCTTGTATGTCTGAGACTTCCAGTTATTTTACCTGTAAACAAGCTGCTTGACATTGTAAACTGATGTTATCATATTATTTTAATACACACTGGTTTAGATGCACAAAGAGTTTTACCGTTTACGGCACTTTGTTGTTCTAGTTATTTTCCTATAGTGGCTAATGATGAAGTCTCGGTTAATTAGTAGAAATATCTATCTATCTATCTATCTGTCTGTCTATCTATCCGTCTATCTATCTACCTACCTATCCGTCTATCTGTCCGTCTATCCATCTATCTATCTACATCAGAAATCTGCAAACAGACACGCAACCAATTAGAATGCTGCAAACAGACGAGCAGCCAATCAGAACATTGCATACAGATGCACAGCCAATCAGAAATCTGCAAACAGATACGCAGCCAATCAGAACACTGCAAATCAGCCAATCGAAGCATTGCAAATAGATACACAGCCAATCAGAGCGCACCAGTTTGAATGCTGAAAATTTGTTTCATATCAAAAGAAAAAAAAATCACAAAGACTATTGCAATTACTGGATGACACTACAAATAAAGTTCACGCATCAACTGAAAACAGGCTAATAAACGTATCAACTGAAAATAGCAAAAAATAAAAGATCGATTTTGTGATTTAAGAATTGATGACTTCACCAAAAAGATGATTGATTAATACTTATTAATCAGTTCTGTCAACCCAGTCCAACTGTGTACTGTGAACTTAATGGGAATGTTAGCAAAACATTCGTTATATGTCTTGTGTTCACTGGGAAAATTCCTCAGCCATATTGCAGCTATCTTAGTATTTGAATGATCTGTATTTGTCAGTGTTTAGTGTGTTTTAGCGTGTCTCTGTGATGCAGGTGAGGTCATGATCACGCCCGTCCCCATCATCTTCACTGTGTTTCCGCGTGATGACGGCTCTCTGAACCGCCGTCTGGTCGCCGCTCTGTGCATCCCATCATCCTTCCAGATCAGCCCGCCCACCCCGACAGACTCATCCATACGGATCGAGGACCGGCCCGGGATGACCGTATACGTCCTGTACGTCAGCTCACAATAACTCACCGTCTCTAGCAGCGATGCTACTAACTAACTAACTAACCAGCCATCTCTGTTTCCCCCTGCAGGCGGTTCGGTGGTTTCGCGGGCGAAAGCGCGTTCCGCGCGGAAGCGTCGCGTCTGACGTGCACACTGGGAGACTCCGCCCCCTTCCAGCGCAAACAGTACCTGTGCTGCAGCTATGACCCGCCAATCAAACCGTACAGCCGGCGTAACGAGGTGTGGTTCCTGCGGGACGAGCCCTGAGACTAGTTCCATAGTGAGCCACACGTGCCTGGACGATGGATTGTAAAAGAGTGTTGGTCCATGCATGAGTTTTGGCTAAAATTACCCATAACCCCTTTGTCACATGTTGAGTTCTAGCAAAGTGCAGAGGAAAGCGAGCTTTATTTCTAATGCTGGGATTTCTGTCTTGTATGTCTGAGACTTCCAGTTATTTTACCTGTAAACAAGCTGCTTGACATTGTAAACTGATGTTATCATATTATTTTAATACACACTGGTTTAGATGCACAAAGAGTTTTACCGTTTACGGCACTTTGTTGTTCTAGTTATTTTCCTATAGTGGCTAATGATGAAGTCTCGGTTAATTAGTAGAAATATCTATCTATCTGTCTGTCTATCTATCCGTCTATCTATCTACCTACCTATCCGTCTATCCATCTATCTATCTACCTGTCTATCTATCCGTCTGTCTATCTATCCGTCTGTCTATCTATGCTAACACCTCATGTTGATCTGCTCTAGATGAAGGTGAAGGCTTGACTAGTAAAGGTCATAACTAACCCGTCTGACAGCAGAGAAACTCCAGCTGTGGATTCTGATTTAACTTTCTGATCTTCTAGCAGATGTTTCTCTGCGTCTGAATGTTTCTGGAGGTTTTAAAGCATGTAACACACGTAACGGAGAGAGATCGCAGGCATACACTTTAAAAGTAATACAGTTCACATCTTTTTATCAAGCAGCATTACGATCGAGCTACGAATATTCAAATGAAAGCTTGTTTTCTGTTCACATACTCTATGCAAGTTAAGAAACCTTGGTAGAATTTTTAGTTAAATATCAGAACACAGAAAAGTCAGTGTCATATCCAGACTGAGCTCAAACCGTTTCGAGGCTGATCTCGGGTCAGTTTTATACGTTTGTAGACATTTTTAATGACACACGTGTAATAAAAGTAAGAGTCGTAGTTATTAGTCTCTTACTGGCCTGATTAACCAAACGCTCCACAATACAATTTGATCAAATAACACATTTTACACGGACACTTTATATTTAATGATATTAGATTATTTGTTAATTGTATTAAATTGATTACTCTTTCACTAGATTTGCATTTGGTTTGTTTTCGTTGCATTTACACGGTTCTGATCAGCAGCAGTTCGAGCGATTCGACTCATTTGATTCAGTTTCTAAAAGCAGCAGTTTCAATATGATGAACTTACATGATCAGAGAGACAGACTTCAGCTCACTTCATACTGAGAATCTCCACTAACCCTAACCAGCCAGCTCAACTAGCAGTCCATCAGCTGACGCTCATTAGCACGGTGATGATGATGATGATGATGATGAGGTCACGCGTGTTTCACTCAGTGTGGTTCGGTTTCTTACACTTCATCTGGTGTTGAACTGCTGTGATGATCTGAAGCGAGTTTGAACAGAGGACGTGAATGAAATGAACACAAGAACACTGAGAGAATACAGAGCTTTATTCATCGACTCTGTCAGGACTGATCCACTATCACCTACTTTACAATGAATTATGGTTATTATATTATCAAAAGGAATTTACAGAGGAGTCCATCATCACACACACACACACACACACACCAGGATTAAAAACGGAGTAAGCAGAAATAGAAGTGTTTATGTTACTTTTTTCGGGCTAAATAGTAAATCAGTATAAATGAATGGGCTGCTTCAGCTCTGACAGAGAGAAACACACCGAATCAAATGAACCGATCAGAACGACTCATCCAGCACACGAGCGAATCGCTCCGATCCCCCAGAAGTCCGTGTTCGTGTTCTTCAGTTGTTCTTCTTGTCTGGATTCTCAGGAGGGAAGTACGGAGGCGGCTGATCCTAATGGAACGACAGCAAACACAACCGATTCGATTCAAATGACTCCGATTCACTCGACCAGCTGCAGAAGTGATTCGCTTCACATCAACATGAACATGCAGCTCCACAGTGAGAAATAAACTGGATCGGATCATGATCGGTGAAAGAGTCTGTGTGAAGACGGCTGATCATCATTTCTGATGAAAGCAGGTTTTACATTTGGATTACTTTTAATAACTTATAGAGCCCCATGAAATTCTTTTTCTTTTTATTCTGATCTAATCAATTCATTTAATAACTTATACAAATGCTATGAAAATTATTTTTTCTGGATTTCTTGGTTTATGATTTAATAGAGAATTATCATTATAAATGATGATAATCAAATGAACTCAGAAAACAATTTAATCAATATTTTCAAATGTATTTCGATTGAAATGATTTGATAATGATTTATTTATTCTAAATAGTACTGCATTTCTTAAGTTTAAGTTAAACCAAACTTTTAATTAATCAGTTTGTAGTGAACAGCTTTGAGTTTCTGTGTATTTGATTCATTGCACACATTTACTTTTAATTCATAAATCAAAAAAAAAAAAAATCTGTAACCAAAACTAAAAAACATTTTTGTTAACTAAAATATGATTCAAAAATTAGATTAAAAAAACTAAAACTACACAAAAATGTAGAAAAAATTCTTGCCTTAAAAACAAAAAAACTAAACTAAAAATGAAAACACCTGAAGTAAACAGAGTTTTTTGTATTTAGTATTTAGTAGTAGTGCCTCAGTGTGAGAGTCTCTGACAGCAAAAACTAACCAGTGCTGACTGAACACTACTAGTACAGATTAATAACCAGCTACTGCTACATTTCTGTGATTAGAAACACATTCAGCTCAAGCATGCTGCGTTCCCGATGGAAATAATAAATATCAGTTACATTTCTATTTGTTTAATTACTACACTCTCACAGTTAATAAGTAACTCTTTAACTAATCACCTGAGATAAGTTAATAATTACCTCCAAAACTTAATCTAATCTTTATTTTCAGCATTAAAACTAAAACGACTAAAATAAAGTGTGAAAATTAAATATAGCATTTTTTATAAAAATAATAATAACCAAAAAATAAAACAAAAACAAACAAAAAAAAATCAGTGTGAGTGTGTGTGTGTGTGAGTGAGAGAGAGTGTGAGTGAGAGTGTGTGTGTGTCTGTGTGTGTGTGTCGGAGTGTGTGAGTGTGTGTGTGAGTGAGTGAGTGTGTGTGAGAGAGTGTGTGTGTGAGTGAGTGTGTGAGTGTGTGTGAGAGTGTGCGAGTGTGTCTGAGTGTGTGTGTGAGTGAGTGTGTTTGTGAGTGTGAGAGTGTGTGAGTGAGTGTGTCTGTGTGAGTGTGACAGTGTGTGTGAGTGAGTGTAAGAGAGTGTGAGTGAGTGTGAGAGAGTGAGTGAGTGTGAGAGAGTGAGTGAGTGTGAGTGACAGTGTGAGTGAGTGTGAGAGT